TGTTTAATGACTCAAGTGTCTTGTGTCTTTTGAATATCTAGGAAGAGATTTTCCACCCAGAGTTCCCTAGGAGTGAAGCTCTGTTGTAAAGATTATAAGATAATTCAACAGATATTTCTTGAGCATTGATTGTGAACTAGTTATGGGATCATCTCCGTAATATTCCAGATAGAAAGTCATCCAGCTACTGCAAACTAAAATATTTTCTTCCTATTGTGGATAAAAATGTTGAATAAAATAGAGCAAAACGCAGACTTATGTAACATCCTAATAGGTTCTCCTTACGCTAGTTTTCTTGAATGAGGTTCAACTAGATAATAATCTCCTTTGCTGTATTCTCTAACCCTCATTCTCCAACTTATTCACAAAGACACTAGAGAGCCCTCACTAAATGCTAATAATATAATACACAAATCTACTAGTCTGGCACCTCTGAAACAGGTTATGTGATTAGTTGAGCATGATTGTTTCTTATGTGACACTTTTCGTACAAGTGTCAGGTATTGATTGAGGTCTTTTCTAAGGTCTGATAAAACCTTGTGTATTAAGCTATTGTGCATTTTTTTTCCCAAAAGATCTGCAACAGACTCCACACTTAATTTCTTGAACCCTATCTCTTCATTTCTCTTTTTGAACATCCGAATGCTTTGCCACTTAGTCTTTTTGTACTTGTGTCATTTTGTTTTCCTCTAAAATTTGATTCATAATTACATCCACAAATTTGTTCTATTTTAGGGAGGTAATTCATTTAGCTTCAAGACTTGAACTCATCTCAGGCAGCTAATCTCTTCCTCTGTTTTGCATTTTGATCAGTCTTTTTATCTTTCTGGGTCTAAAAATCATTCTCCTTGAGAGAAAAGATGGAAGCAAAGTAGAAGTTGATTCTTTCCTGTCCTCTTTGCCATATCATCCAGCCAAGCTATGACCCTGACCTTTCCTTATTCTTGCTCTATAGTTTAGACACACTCGAAAATGAAAAAATGGTTTGTCATTGTCATCCATAGTGGGTTCTTTCTTAAAATTCTTATCAGGAACTAGATA